TATATATATATATTCAATATAGAAGTCCAATATTTCTTAATTTCTCATCCTTTCTGTAATGACAAGGTCTGATTCCAACTTATACCCCTCAAATCTGCAAAATAATAACTTTCTGCTTTTCATTCTTTCAGGCTTTCCTCTTTTCCATAAAGTTATTTTTCTTGCAAGGGCAAAAAATCAATTTTATTTTTAAACAGAGATAAAAATCTTAATGAATAAAATGCACAGGTTAGGGATCTTGATTTCTTTTGCCCAATAGCTCTGTATTGCTTCTGTGACAGGGAGCATAAGAAAAATTAAGTAATTTCACAATGTCAATTTATTCCTCCCGTTCATTTAGTGTTATTTTTTAACATAATCACAATCCCACATCATTTGCATTGATTAGAACAAAACATTACAATATACTGGAATAATTAATATAGATATTAAAAGAGGGGCCAGCATGAAAAAATATATTATTTTCAATATTCTGCTTTGGATGTTGAGGTTGTGTTCTCGCACAGGCATAACCTCTATAAATGTCACTTTAGTTAACACCAGCTGAAAATATCTGGGCTGTGATACCAGATGTGGCATCATGCACGGTTTCAAACTGCATGATTCTCTTGTAGCTGCTTTCCTCTGGTTTCCCCAGTATCATACAGGTTTACAGTTTCTCCAGGGAGTACTTTCCCCTTTTCCTGCTTTCCTGACATTCTCCAAAGCAGCAGCCCTGTGCTTTATCTCTGCCCATGTAATCACCCAGCTCAAAGGATTTCCTGCAGGCTATTTTCAGCAGGGAGCCAACAGGTAGTGGGGATTCATGGAGAGCTGAATAGCAGCAGTGTAATCACCACCCCTCCTCTTGCAGCAGCAAAGAGGATTAAACAGGACTAACAGGGAACAGGCTGCTCCCCAGGACAGGGACAATCCACACAGGGCACACAGAGTGTTTGTGAGCTTGGAGAGGCTGGGAGGTGCCTGCAGAGTCAGGCAGGACAGCAAAGCTCTCCCAAGGCACACAGGCACCAGGCAGGAGCCACAGGGCTTGCTCAACCTTGTGCTTTGAGCCAAGCAGTCCCTTCCCTTCACTGAGACAATGAAAAAAGCACCTCAACCACTCCAACTCAAGTGCTTTCCCAAAGCCTTTGTATCTAGGCCTGCAGAACAATGTTGAAAACAGCTCATCTGAGCCCACAAGAGCCTGGCAAGGCATCAGTGCCCATTTCCCTGGCACAGGGCCTGGGGAAAGCAGCATTTTCCTATGAAAGGCCTGAATTCAAGCTGAGGCCTGGCCATAAATAATTCTAGCACAGTCAGATGTTTGAAGACAAAGTGAAATGCAGCTCCACCCTTCTCTGCTGCTCTCCTGGGAGAGGGCAGGTGCTCAAGCCAGCTCAAAGTCAAGGTCTCTCACCTGTCATAGTCGTCAGGGTCGAGGGGCTGGTAGCTGGCTTGGTAACAATTGATCCTCTTCATGAAATCCTCCATGGCATCAGTGGAATTACAGTCCCGGTAATCTGGGCTGGACAATTTCACTTCCTGGAACAGAAATAAAAAAAAAAAAAACATGCCACAGGGAGAGGTTAGGAAGCTTTCCAAGCCAGACAATGCTAATCTGGAATTTCAAAGTCCTGCCAAGATCCAATGATTAGCTGAAACTAAGTGATGAGTACTTTATAGTCATCACTCATCACAGGGCAGAAAAGAAGCAAATTAGACCCAAAACCAAGCATCAGGTGGGAGAATTTGCTATCAACCATTGCATGATTAGTACAGAAACCCACCAATCCACTCCCATTCTCCCAGAAGTTGGGCTAGCACTGCACCACCCAACAGCAGGAAAACTGAGATTCTCAGTGGCTAAAAAACCCCACTGGGTTAAAATTCAAGCTGAGAAATGAAAGTGCATGAACTTAAACAAAATCCTTATCCCAGCTCAGCAGCAGGACAGTGAGATGGCAACATTCAACCCCTTTCTGTGCATTATTTGCTGCAAGCTGCTGGGCTGAAAGACACTACAAACAGGCAGCGTGAATATCCACAACCCTCACAAACTAATTCCTGCCTGAACTAATCTAACAGGCTGCTTTTCCTGAAGGTTTGGGTTTGAACAGCAGCATTACACATTGGTAACTACACAAGCAGTCCTGACACCAACAGGATAACACCGTGGATCAACACATGTGGCAGCATCCCAGGCCTGGGGTGTATTTTCCACACTGATCCCAGCACTAAGAGCACCATTCATCTGCAGTTCCCTGTGGAGCAAAATCTCATGCTCAGCTAGGAGCTGATTTTCTCACCCTTCAAGCATTAGTTTCCAAATAAAGGGATTAAAATCCTCAAAAAAAAAAATCCAGCTTGGGGAAAAAAAAAAAAGGAGCAAACAGAGCATTTTGTTGTAGAAAAGGCTGTATGGAACCTCCCAAGAAGTTGGTCACTGGGATAAGAGCTCCCAGCAGGAGCAAAAGACACTCTCCAGCCCCTGGCTGGCAGCAAATTTGCCTCCAGTGAAGCCTTGTTGGATGCCTCCAACCACCTTTTTATCTTCCATGTGCCTCAGGCAAAGTTTCCAGGATGATCTGCTCCATTATCTTCCAAACACTGCTGTGAGACTGCACCTGTAGTCCCCCACTTCTGTCAGGGCTTTGTTTTTCCCAACCCAATTCTTGGCTGTTCAGACAATCTCTGTATTCCTCCCATACTGCCTGTCCTTGCTTCCATCCTCTCTCTGTAAGCTTCCTTTTAGTGTTTGATTTTGAGTTTGTCCAGGAGCTCCTTGTCCATCCTGGCATTTTTGATGGCTGCATCACAGCTGAACTTGGAGAAGATGATCCTTGAACATGAACCAGTTTTCTTGGGCCCCTCTTCCCTCCTGGGCTTTTTATCCCACAGTACTCCAGGCCAAAACCTGCTTTCCTTTCATCTCACTTGACAGCTGCTGCAGCACAGGCTGCCCTGGAGCTTCACATTCCTCAGCAGCCCCTCCTTGCTGGTGACAGCAAGGTGCAGCACAGAGCAAACAGGGACAGGTGCTGTCACCTGGAGAAGGAAGTAACCAACACACTCCAGGAACCTCCTGGATTGGCAGTGCCGTGCTGGGCTGTCCCTCCAGGCTGGTTGAAGCCCACCAAGAAGACCAGAGCTTGTGAGGGTGATGCCATTCCTATCTCTCCATGGAGGGAAAGCAAAAGCAGGACATTCCCACCAGTGCCACACTTACCATAACGTTGGTGGCAACCACGTTGGGATCATTGCAGACAGATTCGATGAAGAAGACCTGTGAAGCAAAGCAGAGCTCAGCTGAAAGCCACCAAAATAAGGTTTATAACATTCAACCAGCTCCTTGCTCAACCCAGCCTCCTCCCTGCTGGACCAGAGAGCTCCTCCTCTGCCCCACTGCCATCCTTTCCTTCCCCATGGCTCAGTACAGGGAATGAAGGAAGATTTTCATGTTTTTAATCAAACCCAGCAGTGAAATCTCCCTCAGACAGGAGCAGCATGAGGATAACACAAGTTAGACAAGATACATCAGCTCCACACCACAGTGGGCCTCCCAATGCAGGCACCAGACCCATGGCACCAACCTTGAACCCGTTCTCTTTGGCAAAGTTTAGGATCATCCCTCTCCTCTCCCTCGTGGTATTAGTGGCATCAAAAACCTTTAAAAGCAAAAGATCTCAATTAGCACCACAAGGGCCTAGTTTCCCAGAGAGCCCCTCCTCAGAGGAAGGAACTGCAGAGGATGTTTGGGGTCAGCACAGCTGCCAAACCCCAGAGCACATCAGGAGCTCACCGCAATCTGCCCGGCCTCCTCCGTCAGGTACAGCTTCACATCCCTCAGGGCAGCCATGGCACATTGCCTGCAAAACAGGGACAGACGTGTGGCCCTGGGGTCCTCAGGGTGTGGAGGACACCCTGAAGTCACCAATCCCACACAGATTCAGTTTTGAGCCCTCAGAATCCTTGGAAGAAAATCAGATCCCAACTCTGAATTTGAAGTCCAGGGGAAATTCAGAGCCCAGCTTCTTTGTCCATCAGCCCCAAACTGGGTAACTCTGCTCCCAACCATGGGCCTCAGCACCACGTGGGGTCAGGGAGCCCACCCTCACCTCCTGACTTTCATGGCCTCCTCGTTGTCAGGACGGAAGAAGTCATAGGAGCTGTAATGCTTCACAGCCTCGCGGCGATACTCCCCAACATTGAAAACTGGGTGGGAAACGGAAAAAAACAAAAAAACAAACCATCAAAATGAGGGACATGACTCAGTTGTGTACCTTCTGCAGTTAAAGCAAGCTGGGAGCACGAAATTACATCCTCAGGGCATCCCTTGGTCTTCAAAGTGAAGGAGAGCCCAGGATACGAAAACACATATTTATATTTGGCCTGTAGGATCTTGGAAACATCCCCCACTAACTCCCATCTCCCAAAGCAGTGATCTAGAGGAAATCCTGAGGACCAGACCTCCTGCTTTCCCTTGGCAGCCAATGCAGGCCTTACCTTTTGTGGGGACACCGATCCAGTTGAGGTAGCGCGTCAGCTTCTTGGAGATGTAGGTCTTGCCACGAGCTGGGAGGCCAACCATGACTATCACAGTGGGGGAGTTGGCAAGCTGAGGCCCACAGGCTGCAAGGAAAAAGAACAGGAGCTGTTAATTCTCCAGTTCACCCTGCACTGACCCAACAAGGCACTTGTTTTCATCTGGACTCCTTCCAAGTCCTTCAGCAGCTGGAGGAAACATGAAAGCCACAGCAAGAACATCCTGATGGGTGCAAAGTGGGCAAGCAGCCAGCAGCTGGCCTAGGCTCCCTGGAGAGCCTCTGTGCCTCAATTTCCACATTTGCAACTCAAATAAAAAATAATTTAAAAAATAAAATTCAAAATCAAGGCAAGCACAACTTCGCATTCCAATGGCTTGGCAATTCCATGAAAAGCTCAATGACAGCCAAGGACTCTGGACCCATCCCTGCAGCAGTGTCTGTGCTGAAATACCAGCTCTGGTCCAGATCTTCACCCACAGAAAGCATCTCCTAAAATATTTGACTAAATTTCTAGCTGACACACAACCAGCTAACTGGACTTTCTGAAGACAAACAAGGCAGGAGAACCACAGAACTAACAGCATTTAAAAGTAGATATCCAAGTGCATTTATCCCCTTTTTCCTCGCAAACCCAAGCTCGGTTGTTGGGATTTTTCGGGGTTTTTTTTTTTTGGTTGGTTGGTTTTTTGGGGTTTTTTTTGTTTGTGCTTTTGGGGTTTTTGTTGTTGTGGCGAAGAGGGTCAAACAGCTGGAAGGAAAACCCATTGGCAGCATTTTCAGGACAGGTGGGACCCTGCAGGGGATTTCTCACCCACCCTTCCTTCCATGCACCCGGTAAGCACAGAGACCTCATAGGAAAGGAATGCAGGAGTGAGTGGCTGGTGGCAGAGCCATAAAACCCCATTAATTATGGCCTGGGTGGAGAGCTCTGCCTGCCTATCACAGCTGGCTGAAGGTGGGACAGGAGATGCCAGGGGCTCCCTGGGATGGACACCGGGCTGGGGGAGGTTTTTGTCAGGAAAAGGGCAAAAAACTGAGAGGTACCCATAGAACATGCAAAGTACATCCCCTTTGAAGAAAATAAATAAATCCAGCAGCTGGAGAAACCAAATTAAGGCCACAAGGAAGATTTATGGCACTGGTACCCAGATGGCAGAGAGGAGCCGCCCATCATCTTACCAAGTTTCTCACCAAAGCAAACTCAGCAGGCAAGAGATTCAAAAACTAACTAAAATCTAATTTCTTTTTTTTTTGTTTCATTCGCCGGGCTGGAGCTGCCCTCACTCCCTCCCTTTGTGCAACCTGCCCCCTGCCCAGCGCTGCATTTCAAAACCCCAGGGTAGCTCCCAAAGATTTTGGCAGCAAGTGCCAATTTTCTGTGCTGGGGCACAAGGAAGCTGTGCAACACACCCAGAAAAACACTTTCCCCCCTCCAACAATCTCACATCCTCATCCAAGCTATGGGTGCAAGTCTGTTTTGCATAAACCCCACACAATTATTAGATAAAGGGAGGAGGAAGGGATAACACCTGAATAAGGAAACTCTTCCTTTCCCTACCTGCCCGTGGACAAAAGGGTCTCAAAGAGCAGAGCTAAGAGGATTTAGGGTCATTAAATAGCACTGCAAGAGTAAAGGGACAATGCTGGGCACTGTTCATGTCCCTGTGGCTCCAGGCAGCTGTGACAGCCCCAGGGCTGGCACTGTGTGGGCACACAAGTGTCACCTCCAAACACCCAAAATTCAGAATCTTTTCTGCCCTTGCACCATGGAACAGCACCTCCCAAAACACCACAGCATCAGCGAGCAACTTTTCATCAGCAATCTGAGCCCAAAGCAAAAGTCTCCGGGAAACTTTGCATCAGGGATGAAACAGAACCCAGTGTTTTGCTCCCGGTCCTTCACAAAGGCCTCATTCATCATTTCTTTTCACCGCTGCTGGGAAGCTATCAGGGATTTCAATGCATATTCATTGCTCCTTATCGACATCTAGAGCCAGGTAAGTCAAGGGCAGGGATGACTTTCAGGCTCAGTAGGGAGGGTATTTAACAGGAGCTTAGTAGGGAGGGTATTTAACAGGAGCTTATCACTTTTGCTGTTTGCCAGAAAGTCAGTGGGTAAAAGAGAAGGAGGAAAAAAAAAATAAAATAAAAAAGAACACCCAGCCCAAAAGGGAAGGAAATTTGCTTCTATAAAAAGTCGGATAGAACAGCCACTTTCCCATTTGAGGCATTTTCACTGTCTCCTCCTAAATATTCCCCAAAATCTCCCGCAAGCCCAGACTCCCGTTCTGTCAGTCCTATTTCATTTTCCCAGCTGCAATCCCAGCACCTTCCCGGATCCCGCCCTGATGTCACCGCCGCCGAACGGGACCATCCCCGCCGTGTGTCCCCCGCCCACCGAGCCCCAGGGACGGGGAAAAGCAGCCACAAGGACGGAGAGAGGCAGCGCAGCCCCTTCCCTGCCCGAGCATCCCCCTCCCCTCGCCCTCCTCTGCCCAGCCAGCGCCTTCCAGGGCTCCCCTTTCCCAGCCCCTACGTGAGAGACGTGCGGCGTGACAGCAATTTAATGGATCGCCGTCGAAAGGGCAGCTGGAGGAACCCCCGCAGCCTGCCCTGGACCAGCCAGCACACCATCGAAGTGGTTGTTTCACACCCGGGATGCGCCATTCCCAGAGGACGCTCACACCCGGGATGCACCCGCTCCCTGCAGGCATCGCGCTGGAAGTGGTCCCCGGTATCCTCCCTTCCCTCCCACCCTCGCTCTTTGTTGCTGCTGAGGAATTAACAGCATGTTTAAAATACCTCGAGTTAAAAAAAAGAGTTTGCTAAAAAAAGCCTAAAAACCCTCTTCTCACATTGCACAGCGTGGCTCGCTCCCACCCCGAGAAAATATAATTACAAGCCACATTGTGTTATTAATAATCCCCTCGGTGCCTTAATATATCAAATATGTTATTTTTTTCCGCTACCAAAAGAGAGCTCTCGCTGAGAAACCCGGCGAACGAAGTGGCAAAAAACCACTGCATGCACAAGGGATTTCTTTCAGAGGTGCCAGTCCTTGAGAGAAGCCCAGCCACAGAGACACACGTGCAAAGCATTAAGCCGGGAGACGCTTTACCCCACTCTAAGCACAGCCCCTGGGCTGCCCAGATGTGCAGCCTGTTGCTGCAATCCCATTTCCTCGGCAGCTCCCGCTGCAGGGCTGCGCATCCCAACATCTGCTCCAGGGTGCCTGACCCACAGCCACGGGCGGCACCAGCTGTCAAGTTCACTCCGTGTCCATTTTTTAAAAAAATTATTATTTAGAAGGGGAAACTTTCCAGCCAAGGTAAATAAACATCGGAAGCGACTTTAAACGCCTGATGAAGGCAAGCAGCGGAAAGACTGATTCACGCAAAGCCACTTCCATCCCTCGCCAGGCTGCGAGTGCCACCCCCTCCATGCCGGCTCCGCGCATTCCTGCGAGGCTCCTTTAGAGCTGGGAGTCGCACAACCGGCTGCCTGTCAGTGTGGCTGCTAAAGAGCTGCTTCCTGAGCTTTCGGATTGGATCACGATTCAAGATTTGCTTTATAGTAACACCGGGATGACCCAAACATTTTTATATTGCGAGCTTCAGAGACAAGGGGAACCAATGCACGAATTTCAGCGTTAATTTGTGCCTTCCCCTCCACCTGCCTCCTCATCCCCTCAGGGTTAAACAGTAAACTGCAAACGGCTGTGTCTGGTTGGGTTTTAAATACATGGCCCTAATCCTCCCTCCATCTCCCCCCAAAAAATTTTTAACACGCTAATTGGACAGGATTTGGAGCAACCCGGTCTAGTGGAAGGTGTCCTGTCACATGGCAGGAGGGTTGTGGAACGAGATTATCATTACGGTCCCTTCCAGCCCACACCATTCATGCTTCTACCATTAACAAATCCCCGGGAGAGCCGCTTGACACGGCGCAAATCCCGGCTGCGAGGTGAACAACCTGCGCCCTTCTTCCCTTTTAATTTAATCCCAGCGCTGGCAGCGCAGAGTGGAAATGGGGCCACGCGTGTGGCGGCACCTCCCCGCATCCTGCGGGACCATGTGACAGCGGAATGCACCTTCCTGCCGTGCCTGAGTCACGGGATGGCAGCGCCGGGATGCTGGGGATGGGGCTGGGAT